AGATTCACACCTATGTCTTTGCCAGATGTTCAACACCAAGGTTCTAGAGAATTTAAAGAAATGATGTTATATGTTTGATAAATGGGGTATCTGATAAACAAGATATATATTCTATGATGGAGTTTCTGGTCCCCCAAGACGGTCCTTTTCTCAGAGTTGGGCCACACCCTGACTCACAAACCCCTTTTCTCCTGTTCCCATTGGGGGCTGGCATCTTTCCCCTGTTGCTTTTCTTTGATTTCTCAGGAGACATCAATTCCTATTCTTATGAAAGCTGCTAGCATATTGAAGACTGTTAGGGAACACAAGTTGACAGTCAGTCATTCATACCTAATGGACAGACAGTCCTCAAATGCTCAGAGATCTGCAGAATATGGCATTTAAAATGTTTAGTTAAAAAGCTTTTCATGATAGAGACATGCTGGCTCCTGGCAGCACTTTTATTTCTTCCAAAGAAATTTCTTCCACAGAAGAATCTCTACCCAGAACTTGCTCCAGAATGGCAGCATCAGCCACTGAGCAAAAACTGCCTTTCACTTCAACTACTGCCTTTTGCCTCAACTGCTGCCAGGGCCTCTTCAAATCATGGGCAGCAGGACTCTGGGGAATCCACTGCCTCACTTTTGCATAGACAAGATAGGCTGGTCCTCCCCACAAGTCTCTACCCCACAACTGTCAAATCTTCTGAGGCCTGGCAGGTGTAGACTAATGTTGTCATCCTGAGACCTCTGCCCTCAGTGACCATGGAGGACCCTAGGTAGCCAGCAAGGAAGTCTCTGCCACTTTCAATTATTAACTCAGGAAAAATTCATCCTTCTCAGATCTCTGATGTCATTTGACAAGCACATTTTGTCAGTTCAACAGTAGCAACCAAGGCTTCAGCTGACTTTTTAATTCTCTATGTAAAATTCACAGGCCTCATCCTCTTAGAGCTAATACTTGGTAGTTTGTAGCAGGACTTGTTTCAAGTCCTTGTTCAAGTAGTCTGTCGGGCTGGACATCTTAGCTAGCCATCTCGAAATTGTCCTAAACAGTTTGTAGTCCAAAGTCGATCTTTTGTTGGTGTTAATTAGCTTAATGGCTTTATCATAGGACACGTGGAATCGTCATTGTGGGCTCCTGCCATTTTTTGGAAGATTTCAAAGTTGCTGTTAGGCATGGTCATGGTTCCCTGCTTTTTTTTT